CAGGAGCCCACATTAGGGTTTCCAGAGCCATGTATTTAGCAGTATTCCTTAACAGGCCCCAACCTCACAAGGACTGGTCTAACTTCCTGGTCTCACATTTATGCTGCTACATTTCTCCCCCTTCCCATGAGTCCAGTCCTTCGTGTTCTCCAGCTCTTCTCACAGCACATTCCAGTCCTCCCGCATACGGACAATGCCTCCGATCTTCATTCCACTGGCAAATCTTCCAGCATGTGTTTGCATGAGCACACCACTGAACAAGACAGACCTCCAGCCAATTTGTGAGGAAATCTGCTAATAACTTCCCTCCAGTCGACTATTCCTCACCCTCAATATCATATTTTCTCTCTTTTCCAGTCCCTCATCTACACTATATGTTGCCTACTTCTTAAAGAGCAGTTCCCCAGGTGTAGGTAACATATCAAAGACTTTACTGAAGCCCAGAGAGGTGAAATCTATGGCACCTCCTTGTCTGGGAAGCCAGTTAATTTAACCAAAGACGGATATTGGATGAGGCCAACAACTGATCCTTGCTGGCCTCCCCAGGCATCTCAGTCCATTTCCCATTTTTCTCCTTGTCCTTTTCATTCTTCTAAGGACCTGTGGGTACCTACAGGTCCATGAGCGTGACCTCTGAACAGAGCTAGCATAGCACCTGTTCTCCAGGTGCTACAGCACCACTGCCAACTTCAATCCATGTACACAGGATTCTGTTCTTTTAACTGTGTACCCTACACTGGTCCCAGTTTCTTGCCCGCTACTTACCCCACTGCTCACTCCAGTTATTTGCATAAGTCACTGGCACGTGTAGAGCTCTTCAGTCCCATGCTGCACTCTGCTCAACAGCCTAGTGTATGATGCTAACAAGGGGCCATGCTTAGCCATGCCTACACATGGGGCACACTCCCCTCTGGCCCTGGCTGCCTGAGAACCTGCTTTTCCTTTACAATGCCAGGAAGGGTTAGGAAGTGGAACCAACTGGAAGGCATTTTGCTGCGCTGTCCATGACCCTCCCTTCCACACGCCCCTGCTCAGCAGGGAGTTGTTCTTGGCTCACCATGATTATCGCGTCAAGGGAATCCCGCTGAGCGATGGCCCAGACCCCCATTGCCAGGACGGTGAAGTTCCCCCATAAGTAGGAGTCTGGAATCCAGGGGATTGTGCCTGCCCTGGAAAACACAGCAGGGAAAAAAGAGAAAGAAACACTGCGAATGTGCCTGGCGTGACTCTCACGTGCTCAACTTTCAGTGCTCAAACACCTGCACTCCTGGGGCTCTGTGCACAGAACTGCTCCTGCAAGTCAGGGTAACCCCTCCCTGCCAAGCACAGGAACCAGCCCAACCTACTCCAAGATGGAGCTGCTCCTCACATACCTCTGCATCTGTAGAGTTCAAAGCTTCCATCTCGGGATCTCCATTGAAAAAAGATCAAACAGCTACTGCTACAAGATGTCCAGTAGTGACTAGCTGTCTTCAACCCTCCCTGAGAACCTACCTGCAGTCTCTGGTAACCTCTCCAGAGTTTTTTTTTATCATCTCAGAGCTGACACTGGGATGACAAAACTCAGGTACTTGCAGCATGGTGTGTACACCCCTCCCCTAAACCCACTACAAACAAAGGTGTAGGCTTACAACATGTGGCCCCTCCGTGTACCAGTTCGCCATCTGTAACAGGGGATAACACCCCTGCCCACCCTCCGAGAACAGGACAGATCCAGGCACTAAATTAAGGGGCTCGTGTACATATTAAAAAGAGAGGGAAAAAGCATGGGGCTGGGTACTCAACTTGTTCCCTTGAAGCCAGTGGAGCAAATCTGAGAATCAGGTGCCAGCTGAGAATCAGGCTCCAGCAGCAAAGTGCTCATTCACCCCAGGACATGGCAACTGTGCTGGCTCGGGGAGAAGAACATCTCCTGATCTCCCTACTGGTGTCATGTCCCTGCACAACCAGCCAAACCCAATCCACCCAGCACATGTCCGAGGAGGCAAGCTGCCCCAGCCATGGGAGCTCTCTTGGGCTTCTGATCTAGTCCAACCCAGAGCCCCCGCATTTGTGCCAGGGCTCCCAATCCACAGGTTGGAGAGCTCTCTTTTCAAGGCTGGCTGAGCGAAGGACAGAAGTACTTACCATATTGTGAGCAGCCAGTGCACCACAACGATGGCCTGCAAGAGAGCAGAGAGGAAACAGGTCAGTGAGCTCAAAGCACATGGGAGGCCGGCAGCGAAGGGGCACGTATCAGCTTTCAAAGGCACCATGGCAGCCAGTGACCCGGGAGAGCGCAATGGCCCAGTTTAGGGCTCGCTTGCAAAATGCAGAGTACCCTAGCCATGCTGGCTTCCAGATTTCAGCCAAAAGCTCAGAGGGTACTTATAGAAAACATCAGCCCTCAAGACACTTCATTACTTAGAGCTGGAGGGGAAGACCTTCCGAGGATGCCCACATAAGTCAACAAGAGGGAAGGCAAGTCACAGGACACAATCAATACTAATAGGATCAGGACCACCTGTCAACAAAGCATCTCAAATCTTTCAAAGACACCAGAAAACACAGTTCCAGAAGAGGTGGACGACCAGTTGGCTGCCCCATAGGACACTTCTGTCCTTCCACAAGACACACGAGATCTCACAAAAACCCTACAGAATCTCAATTCACTGCCCCAGTCACAGCCCCCTCCTTCCTCTCACTCCCTGAATACAAAACTAACTGCCTCCAACTAATATTAATAACCAATAAAGCTGCACCACGGGCCAGGAAATTCATATGGATACCACAGTCTCGCAACGCTCTGTGGGCCATGCATAGCTGTGACCCGCTGCCACAGCTGGGACTGCCTGCAAGTCCCAGATAGCTTGGATTTTTTTGTGACTTCAAAAGCTGTTTAAAAAGGTTTTAGTATTTTTTTAATGGTTCCTGAACGGCTACAAAATGCTTACTTCCACCACCAGCATCCTGCCCCAGAGACCAGACAGCTGCTGCTAATCAGTGAAATGCAGGATGTTCCCGTCTGAAATGGAGAAATGCAAATAGCTTTAGCTCAAGAGACTGCACGATATTGGGGAAATTATTAATGAGATAGTATTTAATTGCACATTACATACTAGCTGGACCCCCTGACGGCTCATCGGTTAGCATAATTAGACAGGATTTGATTTTTTTTTTTTTTTATAACTGTCTATACCAATATTGCAGTCATTAAGTTACAGTGCAGGCTTTGCCATGGGGATGAAAGAGGGTCATAGCAGTGGCACACTGGGACTGAATGCAAGAGAGGATCATCTTCTTCCTTGTTCCTAGCCCAAGTTACCAGACAGCTATCCCGGGACTCAGGGAACTATGCAGTGGTCTCAGTGCAGCTCAGAACAGAGCCGCAGACATCACGGGATGGAAGGAATATGCTTTTCAGAGCGATTTTCGCCTTGCCACATGAAGCAAGTTGTTTTGCAGACAGACTCCCGCTGAGAGAAGCGGGAGGGACTGGCTTCCTTTCTTTTTCCTCAAGGATTTAATCCCAGATTTGAGAAGCACTGAAATTTCTTCCTCTAAAGAAAAGAACCGCTTTAGTGAGCCCCAAGTGAGATCTGAGAGAGATATCATGGGTAGGGAGGCTTTTTATGAACGCATCTCCCTCCACCTGCCCTTGTAAGGGTCCCAGGTGGAGGGGAAGGATGGGCATGTACAAAGCACTGACCTGGACGCCAGACTGGTCTGTGGTCAATTCCTGGTTCCACCATTCTTTTCTGCACGTGACCTCGGACAAACAACTTACTCCCTCTGAACCTGGGGTCCCTGTGTGTTAAGTGGGGACTGTATTTCCCTTCCTACTTGGTTTATTTTGTTCTAGTCAAATTGTAACCTCTTGAGATAGGAACATTTCTGATGATGTCCTTGTTCCTGTACAAACACAAAAGGGCTCAACTCTCACGGGAAAGGGACTCATCTGGCTGCCTTGGCCAGCTGGATTCTGATCTGTGGGGGACAAGTTAGCTCACGAAAAAAGCAGGCCAAGCAAGCCTACTGTAATCATACTGTGAATGACCATCCCTGCCACTGGAAGCCACCCCGCTCCTCTCCCATGCTGCCTTATCCACCTCGATTTGTGAGCTGCCTTACCCAAAGTGACAGGGGTGTAGGTTGTAGCCGTGTTGGTCTAAAGACACAGGCAGACAAAGTTGTTTGGGTAAATCTGATATCTTTTATAAGACCAACTTAAATAGTTGGAAAATAATTTTTTTAGCAAGCTTTCGGTTTTAAAACCCCTTTGTCAGGCTGAGGAAGCCTCTGCAGTTGGTGTGTGCTCTTTCTGGATGGAATGAATAGTAAAGAAGCCAGAGGCTGGGCTGGCCTTCATGCAAGACAGGCAGTTAGTGAAGATGTAAATTGAGGAGTCAGTGGGTGAAAGAGGCGGGGGAAGTGGGGGGAGAAGAGGGGGACGAATGTAATTTTTTTTCCAACTATTTAAGTTGGTCTAATAAAAGGTATCAGATTCACCCAAAGAACCTTGTCTGCCTATTACCCAAAGTGAGACATTGCAAACTGTGGAGAGATTAGAAGGCACATAGCTGGTTTAAACAAACTCAGCATTGTTAACTCTTTAGATTCAGGACAATGACAGTGCAAGCCTTAACTTCACATCCTGTTTTGGGCTGATCCATTCAGGTCACAAGGGAGACTTTTCAGCTGAGAGCATGCACCATGTTGGTCCCAACAACACGGGGCCACGTGCTCTCTCATGACAGCCTGGGTGCCCCTGCCCCCCAAGCAGCTCAGAGGCTGGGACTTCTCCGAGTTGTAGCATTGCTGTGTTTCCTGCTGCTCAGCCAACTGCCTTTCTGAGCCACCCTTCTCCCTTGCTGCCCCCAAATCTCCAACCCAAGGAGTTTTAAGCCAGCAGAAGGGCAGAGGGGAGACATCTCACTCCTCCAAGCTCAGCCCAGCCTGAGACAAGACCTGGCCAGTGGCCTTCCCAAACTGAGGTGTCAGCAACATCTTATCTTAGTTGCTGCAGAGACCGGAATTGGCACAAGAACAACTCCTATATCACTGCTGCCCCAACTCACATGAGGACCTCCTGACCATGATCCCTTGGCCTCACAGCACCTGGTATGGCCCCAGGTCGAGAGGAGACAGAGAGCAGAGATTAAATGCTGTATGACAGGAGAAGGGGGAAGGCTTCCTTGGAGAGGGCGCAGGGACAGCAGTCAAGGACATGCAGAACCAGTGACACTTGATTCAACTTTCCTGCCCAGTCCACAACCCCATGCAGCTTTGCCCTGAAACGTAAGGGGCACTCGGCGGTTCCAGCCAGGGGCCCTCTCCTCGCGATTCCACCAAGACACCATGAGCATGGGGACTCTGCACCCGCACCCCCTGGCAGGCTCATGCAGAGATTTTGTGTCTACAGCAGTCTGCCACCAGAGCAGCACACACCCACAGACAACGGGCACCGGGAGGCATCTATTCCACATCTTGGCTGTTTGGAAAAATGAAGCTCCATGCTCTTTTGCTGGGGTGTACTGAAAGCAGTGGTGCAACCTTTAAACCAGCAGAATGCAAAAGCTGCTGCCATGTATGCAGCTTGGTGAGGAGCAAGGCTATTATGGCCAAAGGGTCCGCTCCTTGAAATCCTTGTAGGTGCCCTCTCCTGAGGGCCTTCTTTATTGCAAATTCCCAGTGCCTCACCTCAAAGCAGGGGAATAAGACATCCTCCCCACTGAGGCTCTGACAATGTAGCAAATTGCAAGCACCAGCATCCTCTATAGCAACACACATTTCCATGGCAACAGCACCCTTGAGCACTGAATGCCCAGCCCCAAACTGGTGAGCTGCTGTCTGGAGTGCTGAGGGCGGCAGACTACATGAAGGGGGACCCACAGGCAGCTGTGCCCCTGATGTGGCTTGGGGATGCTCTTCTTGCAAACACATCAGCCAGTGATCTGCTACAGCTGTTGTCCATCCGCAGTCTGCACTGCCATCCGTTCCTATTAGGTAGCGTGAGCTCCCCTGAGCAGAGAATTGGAGCTCCACAGAGTAAAACCAATCCAGGAAAAGTTCATCCAGTGGCTAATCCACTTCCAGAACTTCACCCAGATCAGGAGAGCAGCACTGGCACCCATAGTCGCCCACTCTTGCAATGGCAAACATAGCTGCAGTAGCCTCTGCATATTAAGGACTGCTAGGGTTGTGGGGTGCAGCAGCATCCCCTGCACGCTGACTGCCAGCAGTTCAAACGCGGTGCTAGCTTGCAAAACTGCATGGGAAGCAAGAGAGGGGGAACTGCAACCCTGGGTATTTGCCAGTCCCAACAGCAACACACAAGGAACATCCCCGCATGCAGAGAGCCCGGTCGCATGTGGCACCTACCCAGGATGCTGCGTAACCGGCACCAAGCGGCTGAGCTGATCCAAAAGGAATTGGGCGCGTGAGGGGATGCGGCACAATTTTTTTGGAGTTACTCTGCAAAAACAGCTCCACAAACGCAGACAACCCTCATGCGGAGCTCCAGCCCCCCAGCCGGGTGCCTGGACGCCAAACAAACTCAGTCAGAAGTCAGTTCAAGAGCACTTTGTTTCATCTCCCCTCTCCTAGGAAGGACACGCTTCTCACCAAGGTGTTGATTCACACTTACACTTGAGGGAGCCTCTTTTTCTGCACAGCCCTGGCCCGCAGCTTTTCAGCAGGGGCTTCAAACCCTGCAGGTTAAAAAAATATCACACGCACCAAGGTTTAGTGATCAAAACCTAGCGGGGAATGGTGACCTTCCTCGAAGACAAGCCTTGCCCAGCACCACCCTATCTGAAAACTTGGCAAAGGTTGAGCTTGGCAAAGGGCAGCTATGTTAGAAGACACTAAAAAACCCTAAATGAAGCAAAACAAACCATCCGCTGCGTCTCGCAGCCTCCAGGCACTTAACGCCGGGCCTGAAAGTAGCATCTGCGGCAGGACTAGGTTAATAACTAACAGGGTTCATGTTGCAAGAATGCATTTCAAATGCTGCCCGTTCCCTCCCTGGTAGAAGTTTGCCTGTTTCCTGATGTTTTGCAGCGCAGGGGCTGACACAAACACGCACGTGACAGAAGCGTGACAAGCGTTTCAGGAAGTTCCTGGCTCCCGCGCTCGCCCCCCAGCACCCCGCTCATCGCTGAGCATCAGGGGTGCAGGGGGAGGAGGCCTGGACCGCAGCCAAGAGTGCTGCAGGCACCAAGGGCCTGAAGAAGAAAGCAAGTCTGAAGGCTGGACTGTGTGAAACCACTGCGCTCCTCCTGCCCTGTCCTCATCTCCACTTGCGCCCACCGCTGCCCCCCACCCTCCGCAGGGAGGACCTCCC